TAGGGTCTTTCTGGTGCAGTGTGTGTCGGGGGTCTTTCTGGTGCGGGGTGTGTTGGGGCCTTTACAAGGGGCACACCCAGACCTAGTGGAGGATGTTCTGTTTGCCCTCTGTGGCATCAGTGATTCTGCCTCTCCTTCTCCACTCAGATGCCTGGGCCTTGCAGGTTTCAGTCCTTGCTCCTGACCCTCTCGCTGTCCTTGCAGACCCTGTCCTCAGATCCCACAGCCCCTGAGAGGCCTCAGTTATCACTGACCCCTGGGGGAGTCACTTTTCTCCAGTATTTAACTTTGAAGCAAGGACCAAAGGTTGGAGGCAGGCAGGTTGGTGGAAGGTGTCATTAACCAACAGGTGGGGGCAGATGCTCTCAGGAGAACTTAGACCTCTAGGTCACCCTTGAAAACACATTTCTGGCCTTCAGCTGCCTCTGACCCCAGAAGCCAACCTAAACGTGCAGCCACGGAGCCCACGGCCCCCCTCCTGCATCCCCCACTTGGGTACAGGCAGCATCTTGGAGTCAGCAAGGAGGATCCCATGACTCCACTCCTTCTGTTGCTCAGGTTCCAGGGCCCTGTGAGGTGAGCCCTCGATGGGTGAAACATGAGCCTTTGGCCTTTGGGAAATGTAGACCTTGTATGCAGGAGGCTTGTCTCCGAGGCATGCATGCTATTCTTTCTTTATGGGAAGATAAACCCAAAGGCCTTCCGGTTTTTGACTCTGAAGGGGGCTTTCCCATTTCTTCTGGTTGGTCCCACAGTGCAGGCTCTTGCACTAGGTTCAGCTACTGAGGTCTTAGGCTCCTTTCTTCATCCACCACCCCTCGCCCCCAAACTTTCTTGTTTTCTTCTTCTTGATCTCTCCATCACGTTGGATGTAGTTTGGTACAGACCACCACCATTCAGCAGCCCATCAAGGCCTGCTCTGGTCCAGACACCTGGTTTAGGGGGAGAGCTCACTGGGGCATGAGATGGCTCTTCTCTCAGGGGCTTTCTGGGAGAAAGGTCATCTGGAGTTGTCCAGTGGAACATGAAGATTCCTGGGAGGCCTGGCAGCCAGAGGCCCTTGTGAGAAACAGCAGGAATGATACCAATCCCAGCCTGCACTTCCCAACCACCGTTAGCCTCTCCGTGGTAACAATTGGATCTTTTATTAAAAATAATTTTACTTATTTTTCACTGCCGGGTCTTTGTTGCTGTATGGATTTTTCTTTATGGTGTGCAGGCTTCTCAATCGGGTGGCTTCTGTTATTGTGGAGCACAGGCTCAATAGTTAAGACACACGGGCTTCGTTGCTCTGTGGCATGTGGGTCTTCCCATATCAGGGATCGAACCTGTGTCTCCTGCATTAGCAGGTGAATTCTTTACCACTGAGCCACCAGGGAAGCCCTTATGGGATCTTGATATTATTAAATTATTAAGCAAAAAAAAAATCAGGCTTTTTAAATATAGAAGAAAATAAAATCTCCAACCCCAATGTCCAAATGATGCCTGTTGAATATTTGGAAAAGTGAACTTGCATACATGGTTAGAAATTTCAAACCAGACAGAAAGATACAGAAATGAAAAACTTTTGAGTGCATGTCCCACCTTGTTCCTTTCCCCAAACAGGAAATTCTAATATGTTCCTATGCAGCTTTCCAGGAAAAGTTGTGTTTACACCATCATAAAGCTTTACCTAAAAAGGGACCCTGCTTTGTTTCCAGTTCTTGCATTTTTTTTTTTTTTATCCAGAGGTTGTTTCTCCGTCAGTAGATCTAGGTATAAAAAGACTTCAGTCTTTTTATATCCACGTGGATTCCCACTCTATACAGACCATAATTACCCAACCAGTCCCCTTTTGATGGACATTTAGGTTATTTCCAGCTACTTACTGGGTAGGTTGTGTTTTAAAGGTTTGAAATTTCCCTGGTAAGCATCCTTCCCCCTCTTTCCTCCTCAACACCTGATCATCAAGAAAAATAGATCCCTTGGAAAGTTTCTAAATTCATTTTCACAGTTGATTTTTTTTTTTTCATGAAGTCAGGGACAGGAAGGTAACTGTCTGCTGTTTGCTTGTTGCATGGCCAGGCTCTGAAGGAATTCTCTCTCTCTCTCTTTCTTTTTTTTTTAAATAATTAATATCTTTGGTTTCAGTGACTTAAAAAAATTTTTTAATTAATTTATTTTTGGCTGTGGTAGATCTTCATCGCTGCATGGGCCTTTTCTCTAGTTACGAAGAGCAAGGTCCACTCTCTGGTTGCGGTATGCAGGCTTCTCATTGCAGTGTCTTCTCTTCTCGGGGAGCACAGGCTCTAGTCTTGTGGGCTGCGGTAGATGCAGCACATGGACCCAGCATTTGGGGTTCCCGGGCTCTAGAGCACAGGCTCACTGGTTGTGGTGCACAGGCTTATTTGCTCTGTGGCATGAGGGATCTTCCTGGATCGGGGATCGAACCCGTGTCTTCTGCATTAGCAGGCAGGTTCTTTACCACAGAGCCGCCCAGGACGCCTGAAGGAGCTTTCCATCCACGATATCCTTTAGTTCCAGGAAGCCAGAATTACTGCCCCATGGTTTAGACAAGGAGCCAGGAGCTGAGAGAGGCCTCACTGCTCACAAAGGTCCCAGCTGCGTTCCCCGCACCCTGACCAGCCCTGGACCTTATGCACCGCTCCTCCTGTCCTAGGGCGGCTGGTTGTCCTGGACATCTGAGTCCACCCAGAGCTCAGCGAGTGCCATCTGCGTCCATCCGTGTGAATGTCTGCTCTCAGCTTCTAACCGAGTGGTGTTCTGCTCTGTGTGGGGTCTCACTTTTCTGTTTCTGAAAGCTTCGGTAGCGTGCAGCGTGCTGTGTAATTCCCTAGGAGTGAGTGGTAATCAGAGGAAGCAGTCGCTTCATCTCAGGGCCCTAACCTACCAGGTCTGGGTCCTTCCAGAGAGGGTGAGGAACATCGGGGCTGCGTTCCGTCGCACAGCGTCCTAAGTGGGCTCTGATGGATGCTGTCTGTCAAGAGGTGCGCACCCGGAACACTCCCATCTCTGGTCTCTCGGTTCTTGGCATCTGTAACGCGCTGTCTGGGTTTCCTGGACAGTTAAATCATGTCTCAATTTTATCTGTCATTTTTGTGGATGAATAATCCAAACTAGGTAAATAAAAATTAATGTCTGGATTTGGATGCTAATTTAACTTTCAATTAGGTTTTGTTTTGAGCATTATTGAAATTAATCTGCGTTCTTGGAGTACATTCCACTTATTGGCAGGGTACGGTGGACCCCAGAAGACAGTAGGTGGCTGTTTGGGGTAAATTCAGATGGATAGACTGGATTGAGATAATGGAAAAATTTACTTTAAAACGTTTCTGTTTTTCAATGACAAAGTGATGTCTGGATATCACCTGGACCCTGCAGAGAGAAAAACGCTTCAATCAGAATCCTGGCCTGAACAGATGAGGGACGAGTTTTGATCCTTGCTCCTTTCTGGACCTGGTTCATTTGCATATACATACTACTTAAAGAGTGCAAAGCAGGGAACTGAGTTTGAGCTCCTGGTGAAGCACTATCACTTTATTTATTTATTTTTAAAATTTTATTTATTTATTTATTTTACTTTACAACATCGTATTGGTTTTGCCATACATTGACTTGATTCCGCCACGGGTGTACATGTGTTCCCCATCCTGAACCCCCCTCCCACCTCCCTCCCCATCCCATCCCTCTGGGTCATCCCAGTGCACCAGCCCAGAGCACCCTGTATCATGCATTGAACCTGGACTGGCGATTCGTTTCACATATGATAATTTACATGTTTTAGAAGAGCCTGGGGCTTTGGGATTGGGCTCTTGCAGGATCGAGAGCCCAGATTCTGACTGCAGCCAGTAACTGTGATGTTGGGCAAGTCAGCTAGCCCTTCTGGGCCTCATTTTTTGTCTGTAAAATGGTATTGATAATCCCTATATCTCATGGTTGCTGTAAGGACTGAGACACAGCTGTGTTTCCCACAATGCAGGGCCTGAACTGTGGTGACACACAGGCCTTTTTCTTTTCTCTTAGAAACCTTCGGGCTTTTTAGGGAAAAACCTCTTCCTTGGGGGCAGGTTTCCTTTGGGGATGAGCTTTAACTCATCGCTCATACTTGTTAGGCTCCCCTTCTAAAGAGAGCCAGCAATCTGGTTATATCCAACTCACCTTGCCTTTTCTTTTCTATTTTTATATTAGCAAGACACACTGGTGTTTCATTTCTGTTGTGATATATAGTTCCTCTTAAAATAAATATATTTAAATTGAAAGTTAACAATGACATCAGTGCGCTGTGGTTAAGACATAAATTGTGCAGATTGTAAGTGGTTTTGAATCCCGCTCTGTCACCTCCTGGCTGTGTGGCCTTGGGTGGGTCGTGTAACATCTCTGAACTTCTATTTCCTCATCTGAGCATAACTTGAGCATAACAACAGTATTATTCGCTGGGGGTTTTGTAAACTGTTAAGTGAGATAATATAGTCAGAGCCCTCAGAACAGCTTCGGGCACATAGAAAGTACCACCAAAGTATTAAGTGTGTTTCTGACCTTTGGGAAACATGGAGCTGATGTGGGTCAAGGGCCCAGTGACTTGGGACTGTGGGCAATAAATAAATGCTGTTGTTTAGATTATTTAACAGTAATGATGATTTGAAGAGCTGACTCATTTGAAAAGACCCTGATGCTGGGAAAGATTGAGGGCAGGAGGAGAAGGGGATGACAGGATGAGATGGTTCGATGACATCACCAACTCAATGGACATGGATTTGGGTGAACTCCGGGAGTTACTGGTGATGGACAGGGAGGCCTGGCGTGCTGCAGTTCATGGGGTTGCAAAGAGTCGGACACAACAGAGCAACTGAACTGAACTGAATAGCCGTAATGATCAACGAAGACATAGAATTTGCTATATTGAAGGGAATTTCTTGGGGTGGAAACCTTCAGACAGCTCCATAGGAGCCGGCAAGACCCCGCTGTTCAAATCTCTCCATTATCTTGATTCGACTTTCCAGGCCAAGCCAAGCATTCGGTGTTTCATTAAACCCACCGAGACACTAGAGCGGTCCCTTGAGATGAACAAGCACAAGGGCAAGAGGCGGGTGCAAAAGAGACCCAACTACAAAAACGTTGGGGAGGAGGAAGACGAGGAGAAAGGGCCTGCCGAGGATGCTCAGGAAGACGCCGAGAAGGCTAAAGGTACAGAGGGTGGTTCAAAAGGCATCAAGACGAGTGGGGAGAATGAAGGTGAGTGCACGCGCCACCGCCAGCCTGCCCGCCGGGCCGTCCTGTGTCTGGTCCCCCGTGTGTGTCCCTCGGTGCGCCTGTCACTCCAGACACCTGTGTACCTCACTGTACACAGCCCACCCTTTGGTGACAGCTGTGGCCAGATCTGTACGAGGCCTGCTTTCATCTGTGGGCAGCCTGGAGTGAGGCCCTGTCCTCTTAACCCCTGCTTCTGTTTCCCATCTGTCAAAAGAGAGTATTTACTTTGTTATTAAGAGAATGAAATGGGCTAATGCACGTAACATGCTCAGAACGGTGCCTGGTCCATGTCAGAAGTATCTCCCACTACAGTTATTTCACAAGTACTGTCATTATTATTAATAGTATGGTCATCTTTATCATTATTGGTGTTCTTCCTAATAATTCCGATGACCCAGGATGATGATTTTTGACTAAAGTCGTTATTGCCAGTACACTGCAGGAAGAAAAATGGCCCAGGGCTGATGAAATTAGATGCTTTTCATGATTATGGTATTGGGGGAATCAAATGATCAAATGCAACCCCCCAGATTCTTACATTAAGATTTTTTTCAAGCCCTCATCTGTTTAGAGTGAGGTACACTGGTGTTCGGTGCATTGGGGTCAGGGAACAGAATCGCTTGGTCCTCTTCTCCTCTGCCCTTGTCGAGAATGATTCTGGTTTACTTTTCACCTCCTTCTTGTTTAGATGCTAATGCCTCCATCTGGAGAGCATTGTCAGCCCCGGGGATGAAGCAAGTTTGAACTGTTGCTTGTGTCATGGGCGGGGCTCGCAGCCACACAGATGGGGTCTCTGGCCACGGCCCCCGGCACTCAGGGTGGAGGAGGTGGTGGGGTCAAGTAAGGTGGGAGCTCTGCCTGCCAGAGGGGAGCTTCCAGCACACCTCCTGGGACAGATCTGGGCTCTCCCCAGCTCCCGCCTGCGTTCTGCTCTGGCGTGGGGGGAGCATCTCCTGTGAGCCCTCGCCTGGGTCCTGGGCTCGCAGCGGCTCGTCTGCAGCTGGCTCTCCGGCCCATCAGCCCGGACTGTGTGAGTCCAGGCATCCAGAGCTGGAAAACGGAGCCTCTCAGTAAATCAGTTGACTGGGAACTCTTTTGTTAGGGGGAGTTTGCTGCGATTATGCAGCCAAAACCCTCCCCCACCCCCATCCCTCTGGCCCCATTCTGATGATCTTGGCAGCTCTCTGCAAATGCCACGATCGTATTTTGATGAATATAACCCAAGTGTTTCCCTATTGCCATCAGCCCTCTTTTTAGGCTGAGATCTCCAGCATGCTTTTTTTTCTGTCAAAAGTGTGCAGTAAGCATCTTGGTTTAGGAATTCCTTTCTGGTTCAGAAAACCTTTGCCAGCAAATATCACTGTGGCGGGGAGGTGAGGGGCAGACACAAGGTAAGCCATACTTGTTTGCTCATTTGCATAATTTTGACTTTTTGTTCTAACTTGGAAGAAAATTATCTGGTGAAACTTTGGGTTTAGCTGTCCTGCAGCCACCCTGGAGGAAAATGGACGACTTCACCCCATTTCGTACACTGTGTTCTCGTCAGTTTTGTTTTGGAAAGATGCTACCTCTTTTTGTTCCAGTCCTTTTAAGGGCTGCTGTCTAACCAGGCCGGGGCTGTGACTAACCATGGTGTGGACAAGGGCAGGCTTGGCCTCAAACACACAATCCAATGACTCAACCGGGCAGCCTAGTCCTGGCGCACGGGGGCCGCAGCGGCTCTGCAAGGCTGCCGTCCGCGCTCTCTGTTGGGGTCCAGGGGGTGGGGGTTCCCTCCCTGGGGGGTGGGCTCCCTGCAGGTTCAGCCTGCCTGCCCTGTGCAGGGGACGCAGGGGGACATGCTCACCAGCCTCCAGGACCCTGTTTTCCAGGTGGTTACTTGGCCAGGTTGTGTCAGAAAGGGCTCAGAGGAATTTCCCGAGAGGCTTTGCTTGGCTGGTTGATGCTGACTTCAGGGTTCAGTGGGGTGTGGTTCTCCATGGCCCCCTCAGCTTTGTAGTGCCCTCCTGTTTTCCTGGCCCAACTCATCGTAAATAAATACAACTTTTGCAGGCCCATCCAGCAAAGAGACACCTAACTGGGCAGCAGCAGGTGTATTCTGGGGCTCTTTGAATTATTTATTTGACCTCTCAGTTATTCTCGTGTTTGAAGGTGTGGCCGCTGGGTGCTCTCTCCTTAGACTGTCTCTGTGTTTGGGTGAAACCACACAGCTGTTAATTCCTGTGACTTGGAAGGGTGTCAGGCGCATTTTCTCACTTGGTTTCAAGCCAGAGGACAGTGTCGATGGGGGAGATGGGAGATGTGACTTATGGTCCTGTCTCACTAGCCAGACCTGCATGTGCCTTGGAGGGTGTCCCCAAGCTCTGGACTTCATTGTCCCCATCTGGAAATTGTGACTCTAGGAAGTATAAAGACTTTTTTTTTTTTTAAAAAAAAACATGAGGATATGTTAGGATTCTTGTGGTTGTAAGATTTAGATATTCAACTCAGACTAACTCACACAGAAAAGGCAATTATTGTTTGTCTAACTGGGAGGCCTAGGAGGGGATGGACTCGGGTGCATAGATGACCATCGGCAACTCAGGACCCACATCCTGCCAAGCCACCAAATGGGGAGAGTGCTGCAACTGAAGCCTGGGAGCTGAGGCTCGCTCGTGCTGGCGGGTCTGGCTTGCCCACTCTGCAGAGGGCCGGCCGGCGCTGATTGGTCAGGCCAGATGTGCGTCTGCCCCATGTGACGCCCTCAGAGAGAAACACATTCATCAGAAGAAGGAGGTGTGGATGCCCAGCTCGCAGAAACAGCAGGTGCTCTCTTAGAAAACCACACTGTTTCTGTGTACTCCTCCGTTTCCCTCAGGCCAGCTGCTCCCTTCCTCTGTCTTATCATGTTTTCTTTTCCATTCCCTTCCTGTTTTGAGATGGGACCTGTAGCTGTTTTCTCCTCCCAGATATTTCTCTGTAACATGGTGCTTCTCACATCGTCCCTGGACCTGGTGAGCTTGTTGACAGCCTTGGACTTCTTGAGTAAAGAGATGCTGGCCCCAGTTCCCCCTGCATACCCCGTCATCCCCTCTTCAGCAGTGCACTCTTTACTTTAAAAGGCGGCAGAAAGCATAGGAAAAAAGGGCATGTGGTCACAAGTCACAAGTCTGCCATGGCCTGATTTGAATGTGGCATCGACTTGTTTTTTTTCGACAGAGGCAGCACCCAGAATTCACACCTCCTCCACTTTTAAGCCCAGACAAGGAAGTTGTGTGAAATGAATGTGCAGCCCCGGACCCTTCACTCCCATCCCCAGTTTGCAGAGAAATATGCTCTGCCTCCGGCCCCCAGTGATGGGCAACTCATTCTGAAACCAAAAAAAAAAAAAAAAAAAATCACAGGACCTTTTAATTTTCAGCAATTGAGTGCTGAAAGGAAGACCAGGGTGCCCTGGTCCCTCTGGCCAGAGAAGTGTGCACCCAGATGCTCGTTCATGTCCTATTTTACCCTTCAGTCTGAAATGACAGTCATTTCTTTTTGGATTCAGTTAAAGCAGTAACTTAATAAGTGGACCTGAGACAAGAGAATGAATTGTTTGAATCTCTTGGTTGGAAAATATGGGAAAATAGGCTTTTTGCCTATAAGGAAAAGTAGCCATCAATTTCATGACCTGACCTTCAAAGATTACTCCTCTCTTGAATCCCTGCAAGGGCATGGCGGGAATAGAACAATAGTGACTTTGAAGCTGCCAAGTTAGCTGGGAGTTAAGGAGTCCCAAGCTTGGCTTTTTTTTTCCCCCTTCTGAAGTCTCTGCTGAAATGAAATTGAACCTTCTGGCCTCATTTTTGCAAAGCCAGAGCCAACCCCAGGCCTAACAGATTTCTGATTAGGGCGAGCCAGGGACTAGGTATCAGGAGGTCGAGGTCTCTGCCCTAGAGCTGCTGTGTGACGCTGGGCAAGTCATTGCGCTTTCTGTGCTTTTTGACCCATAGAGGGGCCTGTGTGATGTCAGCCCTCAGGTTGTCAGAAATGAGAACCTTTAGTGCTTCAGCATTTAGCAGGTGACACGTGAACACCGAATAGGAGCCCTGGCAAGACAGTGGAGCGAGGAGCCCAGGGTGGGACTTGAGCTTGGTTGGGGGGACGTATGCTTGGTCACCCTGGCAAGTTTCTTTGGGTCCTACTTCTCTGTTAATTTCTTTTTTTTATTTTTTTATTTATTTTATTTTATTTTTTTTTTTTTGTTAATTTCTATAAGGAACAGTGAGGTGGTTGAGTATGTGTGTGCATGTGTGTGTGTGTGTGTTTCTGGAGCAGGGAGTGGGAGAGGGATGGGAAGGCTGAGCCACTGGGGTACAGAGGTGTGGGGACACCACCTTTTCCAATGGGCTTAAGGAGAAAGATTGGAGGTCAGTTTAGACAAATCCCCTGGAAAGCAACTTCCCAGAAAAAAAAAAAATCTGAATTCAATCTTGTGCTAGCCAGTGAATAGTATTTAAAAAAGTAAAGGAAGGGGTACCACAGATACTCAGCACATATGCACTGTGTCATTGCCAGGCACTGCTGGCCTCTTGGAATTCTGCTCCAAAGCCAGCCAACAGCATGCAGTCCTTCCCATATCTCCTAGGTAACCAGCAAGGGCATCCTTTTCCTCCTCTCCATAACCTTCTTTCTAAGGCCTTCTTATCATCCCCTGCCCCTCTTTTTATCATCTGGCCTCGCCGTGATGGCTGGAACATTGACCGCAGAGGGCAACTGAGAAAATCCTTGCATTTGTCAAGTCAAAGACTGTTGGGAGGTCAGGCCTGCCATTTCCCTGAAAAGCACTTCATTTACCAAATATTAATCAGATTAGAATGCCCATCACCCTGGGAAGTTGATGAATTATGGCTGTTATTTAAAAAAAAAAAAATCCACAGTGACAGAGTACTGGGACAGCTTAGGGATTTGGCCGGAGTTGTCACATCAGGGGACAGAGGTTGACGTCCTTGGATCCTGAG